CCCGGAAGTTACTTACTTCCGGGTTCGGCGACCAACCGGATCGCAGGGACCGGTGCGAACCGGTCGAAACCCACCCCTGCCCGGTATGGGCATACCGGTGGCAGCTGGGAGCAGCGGCCACCATACCGGAACAGTAGCTCATTGGGCCCACCTGCGTTCCTTACCTGTTTTTAAGGCAATCGGGCCAATTGCGCATGCGTGTACAACGTACGGCACCTGCATGACCTCCACCGAGCAGCTGGAGTGTCGAAGGGCGGTGGAGTGCACATGCGTGCACATCACACGTGCCCAAGGTGGACCCCCTGGCCTTGTTGCAGTGCATCTGTTGCGACGGGATCTGAGACCCACCTCTGGTGTGGAGCTTTACTGGAAGTGCTGAAAGGACCGTGTTGTGGACTGGCGGTAGATGATGTCATATCCCTCCCCCCTCTGTTGAGGGAGGTCTGTTTAGTTTTCGCCTAGATGGTCTTTTTGACTCTCTTTCAAACCAGACCTTGCGTCTTAAGGCCAGAGGTCCATGAGCCATACGACATGTCAGAATGTTGGCTAATACAGGAGTCAGCAACCCTCAGCTCTGGAGCCGCATGTGGCTCTTTCATCCCTCTGCTGTGGCTCCCTGTCGCCGGTTGGCTCCACAATTGATAGGACTTTCAGTTAGGACACAAAGATGCTGCGCTAGGAAGAGACTCTCTGGTGGGGGAACTGGACTTCCGTTCATCTCCAGAATTGAACAGGTGACTTCCAGTTAGAACCTTTGTGGCTCTTTGGAGTGTTTAAGGTTGCTGATCCCTGGGCTAATAAATAGCTGAGATTTTTCTGTTTTCCATTTCCTCCCTCTAGGAGTGAGGCGGTGCAACGCGCAGGTCGAGCCGGCCGAACGGCCTCTGGGAAATGCTTCCGGGTATATAACAAGGAATTCTGGGAAGAGTGCATGCCGGAGCACATGGTTCCAGAGATCAAACGGACCAGTTTGACATCCGTGATGCTGACTTTGAAGTGCCTGGCCATCCACAATGTCATCAGGTAATCCTCGGGATGGATCTCCTCCTTCAAAATGCTGACCTAGCGCCAAAGCAAGTCTTGTTCCTATTGGCTCTCTGTTGTTCTTTCTCTGCCCAGCCTACCCTGTAAGATGGTTGTTGGGGGAAGAGAAGGGGAAACTGTTACACAGGTAATCCTCGACTTACCATCACAACTGAGCCCCAAACTTCCATTGCTAAGTGAGATGTGTTGGGAGTATACCCCTAGTGTTGGGTAGGCAATATATATCTTTATACAACAACAAATGGTNGTGTGTGTATTTCTCTTCATTATATAAAACTGTATACTCACCTAAAGAAGTTTCAGCTGTAAATGAGTGTTTAGTTCCTCTATTGGACTCAAAAACAAAACCTGGTAGATCTTCTTTTAAGATTGTAGCTTGCTGACCATCTGAATTATGAATAGCAATTTCTCCTTCCTTTAGACAGGTAAGAGACCAATTTCCTACTGTAAGTTTTGAAGGTCCTGGAGCTGATAAAATTGGCTGGCTGGTTGTGGATGGCTTTACCTGACTCCGAGCCCGCTGTAACTTCTCTAAAAATTCACTTCGGCTTTCTATTAAAAAATAATAAAAAAATAATTTATATTTAATACTTAATTTAGTTTCCATGAAAGCATGTATCTCATGAAACAAGTGCAAATTTAGGTTTTGGATTCAAGTTCTCAGGACTGTTTAAACACTGATCAGATAATAAAGCAGTTTACAATAATGAAACTTAAGAGGGCAATATAACATTAATATGCTTTGGGTAATGTACTGAAAAAAATTAAATGCAATCAATTTATTTTTAAAACAATGAAAGAAACCAAATTAGGCAGTTAACATCTTATTTTTACTAACAGAAATTCCACCATTTTTCTGTTTGATATTTAAAAGGAAGCATTTAAATTCTGAAAGAAGAAAGGATTGGACTGGACAAGCAATTAAAGGAGAAAAAGATATTTCACAAGTTTCATCTTATTGTGAGAAGCATTTAGAATTGTTTAATCTGCTACAATAGCAAACTATATCAATGCAATGCTGCATAATTGCATAAAATTTGTTTTGTACCTATATTTTCACTACAGCACAAGTCTTAAAACTACTTTCTCTTTCTCTCATAGAATATATTCTACAATAGACTGCATTATTCACGTTCATTCAACATCCATTAAAACTCTTAATCCAACTAAGTACGGCTGTTCAATCATGCCCCAAGTACTTATGTTTTAAGTACCTTAATCATGATGATTCCTACCCAAGCCCACACAATTATTCCAGGAATCAGTAGCACAATGTAGACATGTGAAACTACACAGGCAGACTTCTAGCATAAAGGCAAAACCTTCATACTAAATACCTCCACCCTAAGAAAGATTTATGGAAAATCTGAAAGCAGCATTACATGGCCTATAAATGCCTTACAATGTGATCTACTTGCTGTGAAGATCTTCCACCTATGTTTTCTACCCTGAAAGCTGCTGGTCTATTGTTGGTTGTTGTTATTTTAACTACATAATTTTTTTAAAATTTCTAGGCAACCTTTGAAGGATTTATAATTTACTGTTTTTGGTGATCTATTTTTTCTTTCAGAGAAACACTGAGAGATGCCCATTTTTGACAAGATTCATATACAGGACTGAGGGATAAAGGACCCAGCTCAATTTAAGGAATGAACCAAGACATAACCCCATCCGAAAGGAATTGAAAACATATTTTGAAGTATGCAAAAATGCAATAAAAATACTTCTCAGGACTAGAAAAATTGTGCCAAATTAGACAGCTATTCTATTCAGACATAGCAACTCCCTGATCCAGCCAGTCCAGTGGAGACTGTCTTCTGCACTAGGTGAGTATATGACTAGCTTTGAAGCTAGATGGCTGTTCATACACACTCACACTCCGGCACCAACTTGGGAATTAAAGTATTTCTTAAAATTTCTGAAACTGAATTCAGTTATCAATCACAAACTTATTCAGAATAAATCCTCACAGTATTCTTTTAGCTTCACATCATGGGAAAAGACATTTCCTGAGAATTTGAATCTTAAGTTATACTACAGCAATCCTATAGTTCCGTTACACGCTATTTTTACTATTACTTCCTAATATTTAAAAATTAGTTGTTGCAATTATAAAAAACTACTAAAAGGAGACAGCAGGCAATATCTATTAAGTTTAAAAACTACAGACAGCTTAGTAAAATTCAATGTGAAACATTTCTGCTGAATGTCTGTCACAATTTCAGGTTGGTTGAGGAAGTTTCCACTACTTGTCACACGTACATGCATTTCATTCTGCTAGCCAGATGCAAGCCACATCATTCCAATTTCTGTACCTGGAATGCAGTTTATCATTCTTATGCATTACCCTTTAATGATTGTTTAATATTAGTATGCATAGAAAAGAATGAAAACATGAAGCTACGATGTTCACTGAACAGAGTTACTAGAAGTTACTGTTACATGCCAATTTGACAAAAGCATCACTGACCACCTTCCACCTGTTTACATCCTTTACTATTTAGGGAGGCAATTCCTGTAAAACAGAACATCTCAAAATCAAACATATAAAAAATAATTTGTAATTAACTCTTTAAAATATTATTTGATAACAAGATTGTACCTGAACTGTCAGATCCTCCTTCAGGACTGCCACTGGAATACATTGTAGCTAATTTCCCATCCAAAATAAATCTGAACCATCCATTGCTCCCATTTGAAAGTTCCAAGGCTGCAGCATCACTCCAAATATACAGGCAGTCCCTTCCTCTAATAATTGACCAATCTCTCCAGTGATACGGTTTACCCTGCTGCAATTCTTTGGCATCTTCTTGAGGTTCATCTTCCTGTAAATCAAAATTAAGGTACTTGAATGTACATAGTGGTGGGTTCCTACTGGTTCGGACCGCTTCAGTCAAACTGGTAGTGGTTTAGCGGCCTGGGTCACTGGAACTGGCAGCGACCAGGCCTGCCATGCCCCCGAACTGGTTCTCCGGACGGCGCCATAGGACCAGTCATCTTGTTTTTCACTACTGTGCATGTGCAGAACAATTTTTATTGCACTGCGCATGCATGCACAATGCACATCAAGTGTATGTGTGTGTGGCGTGCACACGAGCAAACCGGCGGTAGTGTTGTTTTTAAAAAAAAACAACAACACCAATTTTAATGCAAACTAACTCAGTTTGCACTTTCTGAAGGTTACAAGTATGATTTTGCAGTTTTACCAATTTTATAAGAGCCTGTCAATGAAAAAAAGCACTAGAAAAAAGATCAGACAAAAGATTACCATAAATGTTTACATAATTTATAAAAAAATACAAATTGATGAAAAAGGGAAACTTTTCACTGGTAAATGTAAGAAACTGAATGAAAAAAGGAAACTACCAAATCAATCCATTTATATTAGCATATTCATAAAGTTCTAATGTATATTATAATATAAAATTCTGTGTAATCAGTTATAAATGGTAAAATACAGCAAGATTATCTATAGGCAACTTTCTTGCACTTTCTTTCTTCTTTGAATTTCAATGAGCAACCATAACTTGAAGAAGCACTGTGATATATTTAAGAAAAAACACATTATGGATATACATCAATTCTAACTTTCATATACTTTCTTCCAAGTATAGATTAAGAAGCATAAACATGTATAAAAGAGACCAATGCATTTTGCAAATCTTTCTTTTTGAATTGTAAGCAGCTAATATAGTTTTAGGGTCCATGTAGAACACAGTATTAAGTCTCCCTTAACATGGTAGCTTTTGGACCAGAACTATATTATTTTATCAATCAGCACATGTTAAATGAAGTTAGAAAAATTAAGAATTTAACTATGAATGGTTCCATTAAATTGCTTGCCTCTATTTACAAGCTGTGTACACTAAACTGCTTCTCTAGCAGACTTTATGACTAATTCCAAGAATTCTATTTCAAATCACATTTGTATTTCATTACTAAAAGTTAGGACTAGCGTTCTATAGTTTAGCCCTGAGGCTGACAACTGCAATAATTGAATTATTTTCTTTTCCAATGAGGCTGCCTCTAAATATGACAAATAGTTCCCCCGCCACACACAGAAAACTACTCTGAGTTGTAACATAAGATTGTGCTGTTCACCCTAGAACCAACAATTCACAATTAAAAAAAAAAGTTTCCCAGCAGGTTCTGAAAATCTAAACCTGTCTTCAAAACAGAAATATGTGAAAAGAACATCTTGCTGCATAAATATATATCCTCTTGCATATTTTGCCTGTAAGAAGAGCAAAGCCATTACTACAATTCTCTACATTTGTCACTGAATTCAAAATTTCAAAAATTTAATAGAACTATGGTTAAATACCGGATAAAATTCTTACTTTTTCTGGTTTAGACTCTTCTTCATTCTCATCATCTGAAGACGGTCCAGCCAAAGTTGATACTTTACTTATTACACCAAGTCTAGCAAGTTGGTCCAAGAAAAGATCACCTCCTTTATCCACTAAATCTCTTATGATCTGCAAAGCTAATAAATGGCCATCATCGTCATCCTGCAAAAGTAACATAAATTTAAAAAACCCTCAGCACTTTTTAGCAAGAGGGAATTGCTTGAATTTACATTCATTGGAGAGAAAGGGATTACAAGGGAGTACATGGATACACAGTGGGGAATACCTATTGAAAGAAATATAGCAGTGGCTCTATGCCTGTCAGCTTGGGAATGCTCAACAGCAAAATACAACCAGAAACTGTGAAGGTGATTAAAATCTTGTCAGTACCAGTAGGGAGCTGGCTAATTAAAGCCAAGAACTAAGCTTGTTATTTTGGGATTAGCATATTTTGGGGAAGCACTGAGATACAGAGAAAAAAATGCTCGAGAACATATTGCTTGTTAAGCAATCTCTTTGCAAGGGAGCAAAAAAGGAAAAAATGTACTATATTGGTGTACATATGACTGAGAGAGATGCTGCAAGGGTCATAAGTTTTTATCTTGATCATAACTTTAAACAGTCGTTGCCCAAGACAGTCACTAAATGAGGGCTACCTGTAAGTTGCTCAAAATTATGTTCAAATGATACCTCAGATGGGATTCATCCAAATTAATTGAGATCTTATTTTATTGGCAGTGATTGAAATTTTATTATGTAATTTCTATAGAATCTATATACTTTTATAGCACAAAATTATAGACATTCAAAAATGAGGTGCAAAACATTTGAATTTGAATTTAATTTTGCGCATAAAACAGCTGTTTCATATTAACACTATTTGACCATTTGAGAAACTTAAAATACTTCCAAAATAATTGAAATTGCCCTTTTCAAACTCACAATAGGGACTTTCTGGTTCATACTGATTTGCACATTGCTAGAAGAAAATAAAATGTATAAAAATAAAATACCTCTTGATCTAGAACAGTAGCAGTGATCTCTACCAATACTGTAGGTAAATTATGTCCAACGTCTGAGTCACAAACTTCTTTGAGAAGAGCTTCAGAACAAAAGTGAATCATTTTTCTGATGAGAGCAAGACTTGCTTTTCTATACAAGAGAAATAGCATTTTTTTTAAAATTAAAAGGAATAATACTTTTGGGAATTACATATTAAGTTTTGAATTTAAAGCCAAATTACTTGCTTTGTATTATTTCACTTGAAATCAGAGTTTTATTCCAGCCAGTTGCTCCATTCTATTGCAATTTTCTCGTCTCACATATGCTTACCTGAATATGCCTTTATAGAACAACATTAGAATACAATGTTTGAAACTCAAAATCAATCTTGAGTAGTAAGATAACAATAAGCATAAATAATATGGTAATATGAGAGAAAGAATCAGCAAGCTGAAAGTCTTTTTTTAAAGTCAGAATAATATAAATCTGATTCTTATTTCAATTCACATCCATGAAAAGAGCCTTTTCCTTCTTTTTTACCTTATTGAAGGCAGCATAGTTTGCTGAAATGTTTGCGCAAACACAGGTAGCAGTCTTTTCAAGTATATTGGTGCCATTTCTGGATCACCTTTGGGCTCATTTGATTCTTCTTCATCTTTATTGGCATCTTTCTTTTTCTTTTCATCTCCTTTGTTAACTGGACACATCCAGTCACCTACAATTTGTTTAAAGAAATTTCTATCAAAGATTTTTTTTAAAAACATTTTGATTAGTTGCGCTGATTAGTGCAAACTATTTAGACATTCTGAACTAAATAAACTTTAAATCATTTTCTGAAGGATTCAGACTTGGTTATAAGACAGAAATACCCTTGCTTATAACAGTTGATTATATTTGTCCAGACCTTCTGGTTCTGTTTTCAGTAATTTTTGATTCCATCAACCATACTATTGTTCTGGAACAGCTGTTAAGAGTTGAGGAAACTGTTCCAGTAGTTTCAGTGCTTCTTCAGTAGATAGTTCCAGTCAATTAGACTACTGCAAAGTGATCTGAATAGGACTATCTTTAAAGATGACTCAGAAACAGCATTTGATAAAAAATATAGTGATCTCTGTGTTAATCGGCACAGCACATTATCTCTGCATTATGGGACCTGTGTTATGGATCCAATTGTTTCTGGGTACAATTCAAAAGAATGGTTCTAAACTTATAAGGCTCTCCACGACTTGGTATTGAGCTACCTTCAAGACCATATTATATTTGACTAGAACTGATTCTTTTGATTCTGAGATGTTCCAATATGAACATCTCAGGGAAAATTACTTCTAGTTCTTTACTTCTCTGAAGTTAGAAAAACTGAGACCAGAAGGAGACATTTCTCTGTAATGGTAATCCTACACTGTGGAACAACCTCTCCCAGGAAGTTAGACCAGCTCTAATAATAGTAATGATTTATATGCTGTTGAACTCCCAGTTCTGACTGGGTGTTTTACAATATGAATGTTAAAAACATTATTTTCTTTATAGAAGCAAGTTAAAATAGGACTTTTCCAAGTCCATTTTAAATATAGTATTTTGAAGGAATTCCATATATATGTTTACATTGCTCTGTTACTATATTCATTTTTTGTAATAGTTATTTTTTATATTATGGGTACTATATGTTTAAATACTTTGTAATATGAACATAGCAAAGAGAAGCTCTAATATAGAAGTTATAAAATCTAATAAATAAAAAAATAAACAAATAATTAGAAAAAATACATATTAGCCAATTTATACATTTGACAATTGGTACCATAATAAGGCAATCATAACATTATTTCAATCATCTTGCAATTGGCTAATAATTGTATTACTATATCTGAACTGCAGTTTCAGAAATGTCAAACTGAACTAATGTTTTCCTCCCATAATTATGCTGTACATATTATTTCCCCCCTCATAGTTCAAAACATGCTACAATCAATACCAGATGAAGATTCATAATTTCTAAGTTGTTTTAGAACTTCCAAGGCAATGGTAGATAACACTGATTGGGACAGTCAGAATTTCAAACTATAAACAATAAACAAATCAGTGTAATTATGTTGTAAAATATGCTAACCAAGGGCATTTTGATATTCACATATTGAAGCTGAATTTTAAGAAAAACGAAGTAGCAACTTTTCACACTAACCTGGAGATTGAAGAATGGCAACCACTTCACTATGCCCTCTTTCACGAGCTTTGTCCAAAGGAGTCTTTCCATCTTCATCTCTCAAATCTGGATTGGCACCATGTCTCAAAAGAGTCTACACAAATCAAATGATTATCACTAAACATTTATTTGAAAAATATAATATTGGTTCAGATTTAATTTCTAATCATGCAACTGAAGCATTGACTTTACACAAAACCATCCTAATTAGTGGGCAATGGTATTTTCATACTTTGTAAAACAACAAAAGATATAGACAGGGTTTTTTCTCGCAACTAAATAAGATACTTGGCAATTTGGAGATAGTTTGGGGTCCATGTAAAGCTTTCTTTCATGGTAAGGTAATAGACTGTGCTTCTTGGAAATGAAGATACCTGAAATTACATAAAATCTTTGACCCTACTGATAAGATGGTTTCCAAAAAAGCCCTTGAGACTAAATGAAGTAACAGAAGAATGTATAAAAAATGGCAAGGAGAAAAAAAAGTTTCTATACATTTGAAAATATTTCAGATGATATATGAAAATGATTTTTTATTACTGGAACTGTGACAGCTGGTAAGGAACCTATCAGTGAACAAAACCAGAAGCATGGATGAACAGGTGCTTCATGAGTGAGCAATCAATAAAACAAACAATTCTTTCAAATTGTACATCACAGGAAGTATGTGCTATACTTAAATCAAATTTAGGTTCACTTTAGAAAGGAACATTGGTAGGTTAATTTATTTCTACTGTTGCACTATTTAAAAAAGCAGAGCAATGGTCAAATGGTTACTATAAAATTCACCTTTGCTACTTGTGGTCTTCCAAAACATGCTGCATAATGTAAAGATGATGACCTTTGACCCCTATTCACATCAGCACCCCGTTCACAGAGAAATTCAACCTGTTTTGTATAAGAAGAACAGACTACATTTATTTACACATTCTCCCTATGAAAAAATGTTAACCCCATTATTTTATTCCATGTTTACCATTTCTTGAGTTCCAAAAGCTGAGGCCCAGTTTAAGAGGGTCTGTCCTACGTCATCCATAAAATTTACTTCAAAAGCTGTAGAGAAGGGGGAAAAAACCTTGTTCTATTTAATGAAGCTAATACAACAAACAATAATTTTCAACAAGTATCTTACACATCACACAAACCTATAATCCCTTTTTAAGATATACAGAGGTACCCGATCCTTTTTGATATAAAAATGTTGTCCCGGTACTCAATGCACTGTGATAGGAAGAGGTGGATGGCTGTGGGAATGGACAGGAAGTAGGCCATGCCAGGAAGGACACTGCAAAAGGAAGTGGGGGACAGCCACAGATGGCAGACAGGAGGTCAGCCATGCTGGGAAGGTTGCTGACATAGGAAAAGGGACAGACAGAAGGTCCTTTCCAGCTGAAACAAAGGGTGACATGGTGTCTTTGTTACTCCTTTTTAGTACTACTGGGGCCTCCCAGTACCAATTAATGACAAGCACCAAGTACCACTGTATAGTCAGTCCTATTAAAATTCATAGTCAATTTAAAATTATACCGAAGAAGAACGGTTTGCTTACCTCCTGTGTCAATAGCATCTATTAGAGCATCAGTATCTTTACTACGGATGCAATCTATCAATTGACGATGGGAACGTTCCCCAGTACTATCCAATCTACGAAGTCCTGGGATTCTTCCTGTGGACCCAGCACTTGATTTTGGCAATGCTTTCCGTCCTTCAAACAGTAATACCAAAAGAAGATCTACCAAACGCATGGTGTCAAGTACACATCTTTCATCGCCCTGCAATGCACTTTCTATAGAATCTGGAAGCTCAGATCTTAGGAGATCCTAGAAATAATCGAAATATAACTTCAGAAGATCCAGTGAGAAAGGGATATCGTCAGCACCAATGAAAAAAGCTGAGATTTTATATATATGAATCAACTGCAACTGGTTAACTTTCTAAATTAACATACTAGAATTTACAATGTACAATTACAATAACAATATGAAAGTCATTGTTTCTCAACTATAGTTTTTAGAATGCACAAATGTGATCATATGTCACCAAACACAATTTTTAAACTATTAGTTAACAGAATTCCAAGAACACTTACGTGTGTTACTACGGGGGAGCCTCTGCAAAGAGTTGATAATAGGCTTACTATAGTTGACACCTGATTACTTAATTTAGAGTCTGCTGTTGCAGTTGGTGCCCCTGTGCTACTCCGGCCAGGTTTACATGCTGAAGATGGTCCTGAAGCAGTACCCCCTGCTGCAGCCATACGAGATAACAGCTCTTCAGTTAGTCCGTGTTTGGCTAATGGTGCTGGATCAACTCCGCGGCGAGTAAATCTATCAGCTAGTGAAGCAAAGCATCTCAGTGCACCATCAGAGACCTGAAGGAAAAGATACATATATGATTATTCTCAGAGTTATTATTATTCTCAAAGAACCAAGAGACAAGTTCTTTCAGGAAGCTATACTTACTCAAGACTACACTCAGACATTTTTTAGATATTCTACTGTTGCTGCAGACTATATCCTTAAAGATACTAGCTTGAGGATTCACAATTGATTATATTCAGTTACAGAATTCTTGCTTATTCCTATTATTTTACTTGTGCCCCATTCCAACAATTCACCAAGCAAGAGAGACAAAAGTATTTTTCCCAAGTTTGCCCTTTGAACTTTGAAAGTTTGAATCTTTGTTCTGCCCAACAGAACATAACCTTATTTAATTTTTTTCCAAATAGCTACCTTTTTATGTGTGCTGTCTTTTCTCTAATGATAAAAGAAAAAAAGTCAGTTTTGCATTTCTCAATAGGATTTAAATAGCAACAGTTTCAGCTAAGACACATATAAATTTCCAAATAACCAAAAGCTGAGTATGATACCTAGTCTTTCTAGCATGGTATTATTGTGGGGTTATAAGTGGAGATGAAAAAACCACGTACACTGCTTTCAACGAAAGTATAGTAATATATGTTATAGATATTATCTTAATAAATATTCAATAATGCTTCCAAGCTAATAAGCTAATAAGTTAATTTACACCTGGTTAAAAGAGGCATAGGATGTGATTATTCAACTTTTTGCATTTTTTTTACAGATTTCCACGCATGTGGCAAAATGCACATAATTATGGATTACATAGGTCATCAAGATTATTAACTATTTACCTGATGGTCTTCATGTTTTAATAGACTTGAGAGCGATTCAACACAGATCTCTAAAGAAGAATCCTGTGGTTCCATTTTCCCACAAAGTCTAGATACCACAGCCATAGCAGAATGTAAAGTATCTTTATGAACAAGATGCCCACTATCACGAATAAATGTCAGCACACAGTTCAACCCTCCAGCTTCAAACACAGCACCAGATTCACGGGTACAGATAAGTTCCAACACCTAAATGCAAATGGAATTTTGGCATCAACTCATGGCAAAAATACCCCATGCTCCTAAAGTTACTGAATCAATATATTTTAAATGAATAGGTTTTTTTAAATCAATCAACAGCTTTCTTTAAGATGAAAGAACAAGTCATGCTATTAAACAGCACAGCAACCAAAATGTCTTGTGTCTATAGGAAAAGAAATGACAATAAGGCTCTAAACAAAAAACATCAGGACAACATTTTAGAAATGTTATAATGAAATAAAGAAGATAATATATTAACTAACTAGAGGAAAGCATACTCATTTATAACAATATAAAAAAGCAACTTCCAAAAACACACTTCCATAAATTAGAGTCAGAAAATTCTTCAGGTTTTATGATAGAGTATGTATGAATGATAGGAGGAAATATGGAAACAACTATTATATTACTACTGTATTTTTCAGAGTATAAGATGCACCTTTTTCCCTGAAAAAAAGAGGCTGAAATTTTTTGCCTCCCGAAACCGCACCCCCTTAACCAAAATGGCTGTGCATAGCCTTTAAGAGGCAGACAGAGTGCTCCTGAGGGCTGGGAAGGGCAAATATGATTGAAAAACAGGCCATTTTTTGCTCAAATTTGCCCCTACAGGAGCACTCTATAAGCCTCCTAAAGGCTATGCCTCTCCTTTTTTTGACAAAAAACGGGAGGTCTGCAGAGTGCAAAACCTTTTTTTTTTAAAAAATTGCCTCTTCAAAACTTTGGTGCATCTTATACTCCAGTGCGTCTTATACTTCGAAAAATACGGTATTTGGTTGGATCACTTGTTTTTTCTGGAATTTAATTCAGAGTATAGATTTTAATATACAATAAATTAATATGAACAAGCATTTCTAGGTTAGTAACACATATTTAAACTATTTAGTTTGTCAGTTAAATATCTGAAGATTAAGCTATAAATTTTTATATAAGACAGTCAATGACAGTTGTTAACAGGAAACAAAAAGGTAATAACATTCCTATATGCCAATCTGATTAAAATGATCTCAGGTGTCGTCAACCCTACAGAAAGCAAAACATCTTGGCACTTTTTCCCCTTTGGGAAGAAGCCATTTGTTTTAGCGGTTAGGGAGGGTTGGGGAAGGAGGTACAGGAGGTGAGAAGAATAACAGGTAGACTAAAAACTAAAACTAAGCAGGGATGGGGTAACTTTTTCTTCTGATAGAGAAAAACAAAAACAAAGTGTTAAGCCAGGGGAAAAGTGATAGAAAAAATACAGTGGAAAATAGACAAGTGCAAGGCTGAATAAGCAGGGATTCTACACTCCTGAAATCTATACCTTCCCAGCTGGCTTCCAACAAGCAAAGTCTACGAGGGAAGCCAGATTCTTTTAATGACCACAAAATTTGCTTAACTGCAGTGATTCACTTAACAATGGTGGCAAAAAAGTCATAAAATAGGGGCAAAACTCACTTAACAACTGCCTTCCTTAGCAATGGAAATTTTGGACTCGTGGTCGTAAATCAAGGACTACATCAGTGGTGAAATTCAATTTTTTACTACCGGTTCTGTGGGCGTGGCTTGTTGGGCATGGCAGGGGAAGGATACGGCAAAATCTCCATTCCTACCACACTCCACGAGAAGGATACTGTAAAATCCCCATTCCCTCCCCACTCCTGGGGGAAGGATATTGTAAAATCTCCATTCCCACCCCACTCTGGTGCCAGCCAGAGGTGGTATTTGCTGGTACTTTGAACCACTCAAAATTTCCGCTACCGTTTCTCCAGAACCTGCCAGAATTTCATCCCTAGACTACATGTAAGGCAGGACTGAAGTTTTATGAAAAGTCAACAGGGTGGGGTCATTTTAATATTTGAGCAGTGATATTCCATAGAGTAGAATCTATTGCAGAAAGGGGCCATCTTTTAGTCCCTGCCAACTGACAAGATCTGAAGCACGCCCTCAAAATCTGCATTTAATACTGGCAAAATACAATACTGTTTTCTATCGTGATTTGAAATTATTTAGGTTGAATTTAGGCAATGCCTTCATGCAAAGCTGATTAATGTTCTTAGTATGTAATTTTAATGCAAAAAACATGGAGTTCTTTACTTTGTGTAATATAATTGGAATGAATAACAATGCCATATAATTACTTATATAATCCAAACAGAATAAACAATACTATGTATGTGTACTATGTATATTATATGGGTATTCTGCAGTGGTAGGTTCCAAATACCAGTGCAACGGGTACGGTGCAACGGGGCTGAGCGTTCACCACATGCATGTGCTCAGTGTGCACATCCGTACTTACCGCCTGTGATGCTCCGCAACGCTCCAGCTGCTCAGCGGAGTGTTGAATGCTCCGTGTGCGTAAGCCGCAATCAGCTCAAATACAGGTAAGGAGGGCGGGCAGGCGGGCCCTCCAGAGCACCATACCAGAACGGTACCTGGTGCTCCCAGCAGGCACCGGTTCGCCCGTACTGAGGCATACTGGTCGTATCCCACCATTGGCATTCTGTATATGCAGGAGCTTTCAATACTATACTACCGGGATGGCGAACCTATGGCACGTGTGCCACAGGGGGCACGCGGAGCCATTTGTCAGGGCACGCGAGGTGTTGCCCTGTCAGCAGGTCAGAGTGCATGCATGCGCTGGCTAGCTGAGTTCAGCCTTTTTTAAAGCCATTTTCCCCCTCCATAGGCTCCAGAGGCTTTATAGGAGCCTGGGGAGGGTGAAAAGAGCCTCTACCCCCGCACCCCCCGGAGGCCCTCCAGAGGCTTCAGGAGCTTCTCTGAAGCCTCCAGCGTACAAAAAACAGGCCCTATGGGCAAACCTGAAGGTCCCTGAAACCTCCGGAAGGCTTAAACCGAAACTACGAACAAACTGGTTTGCTTGTAGGGTTGTTTTTTGCCCTCTGGAGGCTTCAGGGAAGCCTCCTGAAGGTCTCTGAAGTGTTCCGGAGGGCCTCTGGGGGGGCAGGGGCGGGAGAGGCTGTTTTTGTCCTCCTCAGGCTCCTATAAAGCCTCTGGAGCCTGGGGAGGGTGAAAAAAGCAAGCAAAAAATGGGGGGAGCATCTCTCATGCACGCATGCACACTGGGGGGGTGGGGTGTCATGTGTTAATTATAGGTGCAGCACACCCATGCACGACCCCCCCCTACGCTCCCACTTACGGCACACGAGCCAAAAAAGGTTTGCCATTGCTGCTATACTATGTGTGTTTTCTCTATACTGATGCATAAATCTATAGAGGAGGATAGTTTGTACACTAAGGCTTTAATTGCAGGCTGTGATGAGCATATGCTTTTGCAAATACATTTAGCAAAACTCTCAATTTAAAGCAACTATATTCTTATCTACATTCATACTACTGAAAACGTGCTTTATAGCTTTTCTTGGTGACAAATATATAATACAAACTTACCTTTACACATTGCTCAGCTAAGTCTCTACTAGTTCTGTTGTTAAGTTCCACAACTACTAAACGATTACAAAGTGCTTTGATAGCACCATCTACTCCCACGATCCGTCGAGTGCATTCTGCTGATACATCCAAATAATAAGTTATGGCACGAGCTGTTACCTCCAGTACATTGTCAGGAGCACTTTCATCAAGAAAAATTTTACATAGTGCTGGCAAAAAAGTACGAGGGGGGCATCTGAAAGAAGAAAAATACAATCTATCAATGACAAATTCATTCTCCATTGTTCAAATTTATCCTACCAGTATTTACAAGATTAATGTCGAGACTAAATAGTACAATTTATATTATTTGCATGTTCTTTTTCAGTTTATTTTTTTAATTAAATTTTAAAATCAATTTAAACTGTAGACTTCTTAGAGAAAGCTTTATTTTGAAGGTTAAAATATAAAATATTTTAACAAAATAATATAGGCCAACAAATATATATATGTGGTGTGTGTGTGTGTATTCAAATTTGTATTATGTTGATGAGACACTTTCCCAATGATCCATCTACTTTCTCTAAATCAAATAAGTACAATTTCTATTAGACAGTTACATCATTCTTTGTGTATTATAATGATTTATTAAATCTATGTATTGCCTGACTCCCAATGATTTTGAATAGTTTGTAGGAGGGCTACTCTCCATGGGCTAAACATGGGACTAAATGCAGTGTTATATATTTTTAAAGATGAACTGATATAAATCTTTACAATACTTTGGTTGTATGGGTTGCAAGAGGCTAACTTGCTATTAAACCTGCATTCGTTTGCATTCCTCTGCAAAGAGAAAAGCAAACAAATCAATTCTGAATATTAATTAAGTACTTTAGAAAACTATGTGTTAGAAAGGATTGTGGTACGTAGAGCATCACAAAAATTCAGAACCCTTAACCATAAGCGGAAATATTTTTCAGTTGCACAAATAATTTCAAGCAGAAATTTATAATTGCAGATATAAAGCTAAAATTCTCAGTTTGTTCTAAACCATATTGTTTATCTTTGTATTCTACATAACAGATTACCCACAAGATGACCAAATAATAGACACCTACAAATTAATATCTCACTGTGAATTTAATAGTTTAACTTCTTCAAATGACTTGCCCTGAAGAAAAGAAAAGATCAGTATCATACAGCAGAAATTATTGGATAGTATACCAGACAGCAGTAAGGCAGATGTTCCAAATCTCTGGAGATTTGGGAATAATACACAGAGAAATAGGCCACACAGAATTTAATCTCCCAATAGGAGTTCTTTTCACTGGCAGGAAACCAAATTTGGAAACAATCTTTATCTAAAATAAAGTCTACTATACAGTAATGAACTCAAGATGAAATTGCTGGATACTAATATACTGTTCTGCAAGTAAAAAAAAAAGATGGAAAGGACTTCTGTTTGAAGCCCTGGAGAATTGAAACATCCACTATAAACAGTCTTGAGACAATATTGATCTGACTCTATGAAAATATTTGTATGCATTTGTTACATCAATTTATGTAGCCTATACTTGAAGGTGAACATAGGGTTTAAAACTAAATGAAAACTTATTTTCCTAGCTTTCTTTTATATGAAATAGAACCTTGTTTACCTATCATACATGCTATTCCAACATGTTTCTTTGCTATTCTTTTTATTCACTATATAATAACATTGTCTTCCAATTGTGATTTATTCAAATTATTTTTTTATTTAGCTACTTGAATGAAGACTGGCTTTTTCTTGAAAGTCTTCTTTTTAAAAGGAATGTTTCTTAAAACAAATTATTTAAGGAGACAAATGCTTTAAATTTAACAAACAACGTTGGAGCAAAATAGGCAGATTATATTTTAACAATTTCACATAGCGTTATGTGAAGGTTATAACTCAAAAATGGAAAGGAAATAAGGAAAACTTCATTTGAGAAAGATGAAATCCAACAAAACATATTACTATTGTAAAAGCTGTTTTGCGCAATGCAGCTGCCATGGCTTTCCCACATAACAGATGAAATCCAATAATAGGATTCTGCTGACACAGAATTCTCTGTATTCATACAATTAAGCAGGAATAACTTCCTGTTCTTCCAGATCTATTATGAAGGCGCTACCAAACTCAGAATAAGTAATTTTGCAGGCGGCAACAGAAAGCTTCCATATGCAACATTGAAAAAGTTTCTCAATTCCATGTCAGAAAAATAAACAGGACAAGATAAAAGAGTACTTAATAACCTATAAAGCACTAAATCATGTGGAAAGAAGATAATTCCCTAGGATTATGTTAGAAGGCAGTATTATTCAGTAAAATTGATTTATGACAGAATTAAGAACAGTACTTATTCATTCTGTGCAATGGAAATCATTGTCGTAAGTTATAGTGATGACAGACCAGTTTGGATGTCAGTAAGATACCTAACAATTACTTGCCACATGTTAACTAAATGATATCTCTGATAATGTGGGCAGGGTTCTCTATGGCAGTGGTCTCCAACCTTGGCAACTTTAAGACTTGTGGCTGAGGAACTCTGGGAATTGAAGTCTACAGGTCTTAAAGTTGCCAAGGTTGGAGACCACTGCTCTATGGTATGAACAGAGTCATCTGCAGACTGGATCCTTGCCATCCCTGGATTTTCTGATTAGTGACACACGGGATGAGAGTTGGATTTGGAAGATGATCAATACCTCTGAGGGAAAAGATAGTGCCAGCTGCCTTGTAGGTAGCAGTGATTCTTCCCTACTTAAAGATAATATTTTGCAATCTAATAGTGTGAGATAAATGTATTTGCTCCCCAACCCTTCCTTTCAAAGGAAACTTTTGCAAAAGTTGGACTATAGCCGTGATGGTGAACCTATGGCACAAGTGCCAGATGTGGCATGCAGCACCCTCTCGGATGGCATGCAAGCCGTCGCCTCAGTTCAGCTCTGTTGCACATGTGCGTGCACCTCCTGCTGGACAGCTGGTCTCCAGGTCTCTGCCATGCATGTGCGGGGTGCGTGCGGGGGTGGTGTTATGCGTTCATGGAAGGGGAGTGGTGTGTGTGTTTCACACATGTATGCGGGGGGGTGTCAGGCACATATGCGTGTGTGTGTGTGAGGGGGTGTATGTGCGCATTGCATTTTGGGGGTTCAGGCACGTGGGCTTTGGCCACTCCAACCGAAAAAGTTTAGCCATCACTGCAGTAGTCTAACCCGGAAATTTAAAAAAGGGATGTATTTTGCAGTGTATTCTCTAACACTTAAGAATGTCACAACTCATATACCAGCCTGTTGGTCAAACATCACCTTGTCTCTGACGCCGCCTGTTGTGCAATAGTTCTGAGTTCAGGAGAACCTACAATTCACATACCCACTTCTTTAGGGGGAATGTAATCCACCTTGCTCTAGATTGAATAAAGGTATCAGAAAATCCATGGATTTCTGGACAATTTGTAGTTAGGATTCAACTTTGGAATCCATCCAGATCCTTATAGGACAGTGATGGTTAACCTTTTTTGACACCGAGTGCCAAAACTGGAGCATGCATGTGCACTGGACCTGGAAGAGCAGTTGGCAATGGCTCGTGTGCCCACAGAGAGGGCTCTGCGTGTCACCTCTGGCATGCGTGCCATAGGTTCGCCATCACGGGACTACTACAATAATTACAATACACTTTACTCAGGGTTATTTATAGGATTACAGATGGTCCTCGACTTACAACCACCACTGAGACAGGAATATTGCTAAGCAATGTGGCTGTAAAGTGCAATGGCAGGTGACCATCTTGCTTAATGATACTGGCAGTCCCATTTGCTGACATTACTTCAGATGCTAGGGTTAAGCAGGAAGCAGAGGAGGTCCCTGGTAAAGAGTGCGGGAGTGCTGCAAGGAGTTGGCGGTGGGAGAGGTGGTGTATGTTATGTGAAAGTTGACGCAATGCTGCAGTGTGGTGTGAGCTCAGAAAGATGAGGAGGAAATAGAATGCGGGTACATGTGTGCAAGTGGCAGAAGCCAGGAAAAGAATGTGGTATTTCTTGGCATATTGTGGTTATGGTGCTGCAAGAAGCCTAAGTTGCAGCTACCCCAGGAAGCCAGCCCAGTCCAACAGCATGGTACAAAAGGGCTTCTTGCTGCCTCAGAACCACAGTGCACCAAGAAGCTTCTTTTTGCCATGCTGCTGGGCCAGGCTAGGCTTCTTTGCACTACAGTTCAGGAATTCTTTCAGATCCAGAACTACGATGTGCCAAGAACACCTTTCCACCATGCCATTGGGTCAGACTGGGGCTGGGCTTCACACTGCAAGAGCCCCTGAGTTTCAGCATGGAGGCCTCAAATCCAACCCCAGCCCAGCAACATGGTACAAAGTGGCTTCTTCCTGCCCCAGGGAACCACAGCTACCTCAGCCCAGTCCCAACCATCCCAGCTGATCTTCACCATCTTCTTGTTCACAATATTGATGAGGCATGCCTGGCCCTTTGCACAGCAGCTGGTCGCCATGTGAGGCCATCTTAAGTCCCCAGCATTGCCTTAAACTGCAAGATGGGAAGCAATAAATATGATAAATAAATAAATAAATCTTCCCAAGATGTTTTGTGTGACCTGGAGGAGAAAGCCTTGTGAAGTTAGCAGCTATTTGTGAAAGATCAGGACAGGCATAGTTGGTCAGTTGTGGGAGAAGGAAATAGTGAAGGATGGCTGGGATGTCATGGACCACAGTGTGCAGGAGGTCAAAAGATGGGGGAGATAGGCAAATGAAGGGTGTTGAAGCACTCCTGCATATAAATGGAGGCAAGCTGCCAAGATCTTAATTTTGTTCATGTGATCAGGATAGGTTCATTCAAAGTCATCATAACTTTGAACGGTCACTGAATGAATGGTTGTAAGTCAAGGAATACCTGTGCTTGAAAACTTTTAACTGGTGCTGTGATGGCTCACTTGCTGATAGATAAATGCCACTACTGCAATGCATGGGGTATAAATTTCATTAAATAAATGTTCACAGGAATTTCATTTGTTCTCTTTTAGCTCTCTGGACAAACATATTACTAAATTTGAAATTTAAAAACATGCAATATCCCATCAAAGTAGTTATTTAACTTATATCATACTTCATTTCCAACTTTTCCTTCTTGGCCCTTTTGAAACATCATGTGGAGAAGCTAGAACAATCAATAATCTCTTCTACACTCTGTACTTTAATTTGAAAATATGTATCCCACTCTTAGCATTCAGTGAATGTAGGTTCATGGTCTGAACATTGACTCCCTTTTTCTCTTACATTTTAAATTTACAGTACCACCTTAACTAACAATTTTAAATAACTCAAAAGCTTATACATTATTTTATACCTGAAGTAGATGCCACAAAATATCGTGTTTCCCCGAAAAGAAGACACTTATTTTCTTTTGACCACTGAAATAAGTACTTGGTCTTATTTTCAGGGAGGTCTTATTATTTTTAGGTGCAGGAGGCGGTGAGCGTGGTCACCTCATGGCTGCTCCTGTGTTGCAATATTTTTGGGGAGGGTTTATTTTGGGGGGAGGGCTTATTTTAGCGCATGCACTCAAAAGCCTGATTGGGCTTATTATCCGGGGAGATCTTATTTACAGGGAAACAGGATAGTACTTGGTTATCTGTCATTGTGGAAAAAATAATGTTCCACACATATGCTATTGTTACATGATTACTAAATGCTTTTGAATCCTAGAATGGCCTACAGTATATCCAACCTGTACGGATTTTCTATAAATCAGTTTTGTTCATTGAAATATATCCTTCTACTAAAAAACATTCCCAACTCTATTGTCCAAAGCACTTACTACCACTCCAATGATAAAAAAATAATTAGGGATAAAAAGACCCAGTAATAATAACATGGTTGATAAAAAAAGTTTTTTTTTAAAAAAAGAAAAAAATTACTTTTCACCCTAATAATTATAACTGGGTCACATAATAGCTAAAATATTTAAATGATACTATGAGAGAAATCTATAATGACAATAAATCGGTCACTCTGAATCACTGCTACTGAAAGATGACTAACACTAATTTTAACAGGTCAGAATTATTAAAATCAACATCAGCATTATTATGAAAGTCAGCAGTTCTAAGAAACAGTAATTTATAAACCAAACAACATGGGTTCAGGCAAATTTTGAAATGAATTCTAGAATATAAAATATATTTTTGTTTAGTTTGTGGTATTTCTGTCAACATCGTTTTAACAGCAAAGGTATTAAATAAAACAGCTCATTTTATATTTAAAAGACACCATAGCAGCCCCTTTGCAGTGGGTTTTTGCCCTTACATTAAGTGAAAGCTGCCATTGATATAGGTACTAGTTTTTGTTGCTTAGTGTTGATTTTTATTCTACACACACACACACACACACACACACACACACACACACACACACGCACACTACCTTGCCTTGGTTTCTCCTTTGAATTTCATAAGCCACTCTGTTCACAAAATATTTGGGCTCCAATAAAAAATAGCTACAAAACTCAGCTAATTATCTTACTTTCTTTCAACTATTCTATTGTTTCCAAATAAATAAAATTTAATATTGATGGAAGAAATTAAATAAAATATTGTAAAATACTGTAAAATATATTTTAAAAAGACAAGGAATTCATGTTGAATTTTTCTTTTAGTCATTTCCTAAGATCTTTTTTTCACAAAAGTTACTTCCTATTAGATGCAGTTAATAAAAATAGGAACTATCATCATTAAAACAAAACTAAAAATGTTGCTGTAATACAAAAATGTCATAAAAATTAAGATGGTTGAATTTTGGGACGTAGTAGGTATGATTTAAAACATACTGCAGATGTCTGGCCACAATAACTCATCATTTCCAAGTTGAGCAACTAAACCATAATTCTGTTAACATCTATGCCATTTGGCAATTCCTAAACCAAGAAGCAGCTGTGACACCAGCATCTCAAGTTCTTCTAAATTAATATTGTCTGTAACAGCAACCTTAAAAAACCAAGATTTTAACATTTGAGAGCAGGGTGGACGGCAGTAAAAACAGACTGAAAATAAAAATATTTTTATCATTTTATTTTTATCCTCCCACGATGTCTGGAATGGAATTCACATTTTTTCCCCTTTATTGGTCCCTATATAGTACAGAAAAGCTGTACAACAAGATTATTTTTGCTATATCTGATGTGAACACATGCTAGCAAAGCAAACTCTCAAGAATAAAAGGATTCCCAATGGTTTTGTTTAAAGTCCTATTACACACTGGTACTTCCCAAGAAGTAAATTACTTTGTTTGCCTCCAGCTAAAATATATAGTTGCTGAACAGAGACCTTACCGTGCTGGGCAGCATACAACAAGAAGAATACATTGGTACAAAGCAATGTATCTTATTAAAATTTAATAGATTGATAAAATGGCTATAAGAAGTGAAATCTTCTTTAGTAATCAATTGGGGGCTCTATTCATTCTGAGCCCAAGACCCATAGTCTATAGTTTCTTTCTAAAGGACTGCAGGTTCAGGGCCATATGACATGAGAAGATCATTCTAAAGGGCTGGTCATACTAGCAAGAAGCCACACCTCCTGGGTCCTATATGATCACATTGTTTCCACCAAGGCATCCAAAGAATGTCCTCTCTGTCAGTGTCTGGAAGACAGGCAGATATCCTTGGAAGGAGGTAATTCTACAAATAACCTAGTTCTATGTCATGTAAGTCTCAATCAGCCCAACACCTTGAATTGTTCCCAGAAATCTATGGAGATCCTATGCAGTTTGTGGAGTAGAGGTATTACATGAGCATAAAAAAGAACGCCCACAACATCCTCTACTGCTGCATTATGGGTCACATGAACTTTCTAATTGGTCTTACGAGTGGCCTCTAGGGTGTTGCAATACTCTATTGAGAACTGATTAAGGTATGAGTGATCATAATGAGGGCCTCATGAAGAGGTGCATTTGGTGCATACTATGAAACAAAGCAATTTCTCTACCCAGACACAACTGTCACCTGCCCTAGAAATATTTGAATCAAGGAGGGCCCCCAACCTGTGCCCTAAATCAAAACACGGTTGTACACCCTGGCCCAAATTGAAGGAAGAAATCTCTTTAAATTTTATTTGATTCTAGGATCCAATGACCCAAAACTACTGCCACTGTGCTATCAGCATACTGATGATACTGCTCCCTATGTTAATGATGATGCTCTTCATTGAGTTCGAGGATGAGGGAGTAGTGAGGCCCTTTGTAAAGCACAGTTCTTGGACTAGATTGCTGTCACCTAATGGTGCCTGGATCTACCAGAGGAAGGAGATTACAGTACCTACAACACCCTAAATTGATGCCTCATTCATAAAACCATATGAAGAGTGTCATAGACAGCCGAGAGATCAAGAAAAGCTACGTTAGAACCACTTATCTCCATGATGTGTTTGCCAGAGTTTATTGAAAAGAGCAACCAAAGCTATCTCAGTTTATATCCTGGTCTGAAACCTGACTGATGGAGTTTAATATAGTCTGCTTTCACGAGGAAGAAACTATAGTTACCTGCTTTCTCCATAACCTTCCTCTGAAAGAAATTTTGGGAAGGAATTGTCTGAATCTATGGCATTCTGTGAAACTTTCACAAAGAGGAAGTAGACTATCACCTCTTTCAGAGCCAGTGGGATTCATCCCATCTCTCAAAGAAGTATTTACCACTGCATGGCTCCACTTACATGCTGTTCTCCCAGGATGCATTAACCAATCAGGAAGAGCATGGATCTAAAACATAGATGGTCACACCCACATCACCAAGAACCTTAGCTATTTTTTCAAGACTAACAGCTTCAAACACCTCCCACATAACATCATAAGATAATGCCTCAGACAACTTCATCACACAAGCCCAACTCAGAATGAAGGATTAGGTCAATCTGAACTGGGCTACTAGACAACATTTGGAAGATACAATAAGAAAACATAGAAATAAGTATACTTCATCACTCTTATCACCACAAGGCAGGCCCTAATATGGGCATTTATCTGTTCTTCTTGAACCCATATTATCTTTGATATGAGCACAAGTCACTTTATAATGCAAACAGCACATTATAGCTGGTCTTACTGATATTTCCTAACACCACTGCTTTCAACAGATTGTCAACATTGATACAGAGATTTCTGTATCAGTACAATTTGAATAATGTTTGTCACACATACCCAGTAACATTTAAGCACAATAAAAATCAATCTGAGTATCTGACATAAAAGCGTAAAACCAAAACCAACTTTACTTACGTTTCAAAGCACCGATCCACATTGTCTGACATCAGCAGCAGCATACATAACTGCTCCAGTGCTATTAGCTGCATGTCTCTTTCATCCCCCTGACCCATCTGAAGCCATTCAAGCAATGTATCTGGGTCCACATCTGCCATGATTTTAAAGTAGTCTGTTCTTAAATTAAAAAGAAACCAAAATTCTTTTTTAAATCCAGTCAAATAGCTGTGGCCTAATTAATCTTCTACTCTGAAGAAATCCAATGGCTTTGCAATCTTCACCTAAAAAAAAGGAGATTTGTAGTTAAGGTCTCTGTTAGTACTCCCTCATTTATCACAATAAGTATGTGTTACTAGTATGATATATTCTGTACCCCAATAAATTAACTCTGCAATGCTTCAGAATCATTTGGAAAAGGTGCACTTGAAATATTATAAATGAACAGTATTTGAGCAGCAAAGGCTCTGCTACATTTATACATTTTTGAAATCTACATTAGGAATGTAAGAAGCTTAAGAGTCTGGTACTATATTTTGGTCTAGCTATTATACTGATGCCTACAAATTTCAAAGTGAGAGCCAGATATAAACAAGTGTTATTATTATAATGCAAAATTCTAAAATTGTCACAGAAGAACAGCATCAAATTTATATATTTCAGATATCTAGTATAATACCAGCAATATATATTGAAATATTACAATAGTGTATTAAACCTTTGATGTTTATGCTGTTATTTATTGTTCTAAGTTATTGATGGAGAAAAAAATAGTAAATAGCATTTCAAGGATTAAAAAAAATCTCATCCTAAATTATAATGGAGTTTGCTTAACAGCAGGAGTGACTTGAGAACCTACAATAAAATACATTATAATTTTTCCTAATCAGGTGTTCTGTTGCTTTGATATTAATTTCATGATATAATTTTTAATGTTTTTCTACATTACCTTGAGTTCTTTTTGAAATTATATAGTTTAAAAATGAAATAAAAATAAGATAATGCACACTTCAATTTAATTCCAATTTTCCTTAGAATAGTTTTATATCATGAAATCTAATACATTCTGTGCTTTGAGGGAAGGGAGTTGTTCTTTTCATGCTGTTACTATGTTGCCTTTCATCATCATTAAGAGAACCCAAACACAGTACACCCAAAGTCTTTTGGTTGTTTTATGCCTCAAACTGCTGTGTTTCTTTGCCACAGTTGTATATAGTGTCTGTAACACTTTATAAAATTAACTTCTTGTAATTTTTTGTAATCAGAATACAGTTTGTAGAATAAAAGCTGTGATGTAGTATTTCTAAGTTTTATTTCAGTAAGTGCTTAAAGTTCAGTCTGTGTTATCTTAATTTAGTATTAGGATCATGTTAAAAATATATGATTAAAAATCAGTGGGAGTTAAACATGCAGCAGTAGGTAAACTCGGGAAGTTTATTGAATTCAAGAGGGCTTATTTCTAAATATATATATAGGATTGTGCAGCATGCAATAAATAAAGCTATTTTGGCTTCTAAGAGTATAAATATATAGATTTAAACAAGTGATGCTTAGAAAAAGTTTCAATTATATTTGTACAGATAGTCCTTGACTTGCAACAGTTCATTTAGTGACCAAAGTTACAATGACACTGAAAAGAGTGATCTATGACCATTTTTCATAGTTACAACCATTGCAGCATCCCCATGATCATGTGATCAAAATTCAGATGCTTGACAACTGGTTCATAATTATGCCCATGGCTGTGTCCCAAGGTCATGTGATCATTTGTGACCTTCTGACAAACAAAGTCAATTGGGAAGCCAGATTCACTTAACAACCAAGTTACTAACTTATAAACTACAGTAATTCACTTAACAACTGAGGCAAAAAAAGTGGTAAAATGGGACAAAACTCACTTAACAAATGTCTCACTTAACAGAAATTTTGGGCTCAATTGTGATTGTAAGTCGAGAACTACATGTATACTGATTGTTCGTATGAAGTATGACCAACAAAACTGACTCTCACACATACGTTAATCAGGAAAAATTGATATTAATAGTATACAATTTATATTGAGGAAAGTATAGGTAGTCCTCAATTTACAACAGTTTATTTAGTGACTGTTCAAAGTTACAACAGCACTGAAAAGTGATTTATGACCATTTTTCACACTTATGACTGTTGCAGCATCCCTATGGTCATGTGATTTACTTCTGTATGCTTAAACAATGGTTTAGATTTATGACAGTTGCAATGTCGCAGGATCATGAGATGTTTTGCAAGCTTCTGACAAGCAAAGTAAACTGAGGAAACCAGATTCACTTATCAACTGTGTTACCAATTTAACAAGTCCAGCAAATCACTTAACAAACATGGTAAAAAAAGTCATAAAAGGGGGCAAAAAGTTATTTATCAAATTCCCACTTAACATACATTTTGGGCTCAATCAATTGTGGTCATAAGTTGAGGACTACCTGTATATACTCTTTGAGATGATCGACCGACCTCTCAATACACCTGAATCTCAATGCAAAAATCATTGAGAAATAAACTGCACAAACGCTCCCCAACAAAGTAAACATGAAAGAATGGGAACGGTAGTATAGTAGGCCATACACTTTACATACAGATAGTCCACAATTTACAAGTTTGTTTAATGACCAAAGTTACAATATCTCTGAAAAAGTGACTTATGACCATTTTTTCACACAACCTTTACAGCATCCCCATGGGCACATGACCAAAATTCAGATACTTGGCAACTACTCATATTTATGATGGTTGCAGTGTCCCAGGATCACCTTTAGCAACCTTCTGACAAGCAAACTAAAACGGGGAAGCCACATTCACTTACCAACAGTGTTACCAATTTAAGAAGTGCAGGGGATTCACTTAAGGAACGTGGCAAGAAAAGTAGGTAAAATGGGGCAAAACTCACATAGCAACAGAAATGTTAGGCTCAACTGTGGTCGTTAAGTCGAGGACTACCTGTATACCGAAGAGGTTAGGTTCCACCTCTAGCTTAATAAGAAAAAGAAAAACTAAGTCTGGAAATGACCCCAAATTTCCCAAAGACACCCTCACTGGAGGATAACTACCTGCAACGAGTGATGACTTCACACCCAGACAGTTTTTCCTACCTTCACAGAACCCATTTACAACAAGCACTCTTTACAACAAGAGTGGGGCGTCAAATACTAGGGCTAACCTATAGGTATTTGTTCCCTCCCCCCCCCCCAACCTCACCTCCAAATAAAACAAGACGAGCCGGAAGCAGCGTCCGGGAACCCTCTTCCAGGTCTTAAGGGGAAACTGTTTCTCACCCCTTAAAGTCCCAAAGCAGAGGGCCGAGAAGCCCCTGTGACTCTTCCCCACCGACCCCGAGAAAGCCCGGACAAGAGCAGGCCCAGCAACCCCCCTTTCTTTATGGACAGGACCTCGCTTTGGGCCCAGTAAGTGAACTCGGTCCCTTCCCTTCCGTCCGTAAAGCCCAAGCCCTGCTGTTTTTTTTCCGGGCCTACCAACCATCGCCTATAGCCGAGGCTCTGCGGAAGCTCTACTACGGCCATCTCTCCCCCATCGACCGTCCCAGAGAAACCAAACTCTTTCCCCGGAAGCTCCCTATACCGTCACTGCTGCGGCACTCGCGTTCTCCGCCAGCCGCAGGCCTCGCAGGGCATCACGGTCAGGTGGCTCAGGAAACACCGCCGCCAGGCCGGGCAGCGCGAGGGTTCCTCTCCCGTCGACCCAGAGATTCGCTCACCTCGGCGCCCGGGCTTCCCCCGCGGCCGCCGCCGCCGCCTCCTCCTCCTCAGTTTTCGGAGGCCTTTCCTCAGTCGGCCGCCAGACAGCGTCGCACCCCGTCCATCTTGATCCTCCCGGCAGAAGCTGAGGGGGGGAGGATTAAGACGGAGCGCCACCGAGACACACTCACACACACACACACGAGAGGAAGAGGAGGAGGAGGAGGAGGAGTCCGTCGGGCTCCAAGTCAGGCCGAGGCGGACTCCGAAGTAACACAAAGCGGCCGGAGGGGGCGCTGCGGAGAACGCCGTTCCGGCCTTTTTTCCTCCTTCCCTTCCCGCGTCACGAGTGATTCCGGGCTTCCTCTTTCTGCCCATTATAACTCGAGGCCGGAGGTACCGTGACCTGGCTCGGTCCCCGGACGGGGCGAACCCTGTTTTCGGTTCGCTGGTTTGACTTTAGTTCCTTGCGAAAGAATAGAGACGTCGTTCGAGCTCACCACCCAGGCGATCTTTTTTTTAAAAAAAGCTTTTTTAAAAATAAATAAATAAATTGGACTATTCTCTGGGGAGAGCTTCACCACTGGAAACTTTCAAGAAGAGACTGGACTGCCATCTGTCAGAAATGATGTAGAGTGTCCTGCTTGAGCGGGGGTGGGGGGTGGACTAGATGACCTATAAGGTCCCTTCCAATTCTGTTAATCTGTATCTGTCAGAAATGGTGTGGGGGGGAGCTCTCCTGCTTGGGCGGCGGTGGGAGGCAGGGTTGGACTAGATGACCTTCAAGGTCCCTTCCAACTCTGTTCTTAGCTTTGATAACAAGCAATGGAGCTTTTAGTACAACTTTGTAGGGGACAAGTATTGAAAGGGCTGGTTAAAATACGTATTTACTGACATTGGTTTACTGCCTATCGGGGTTAGTCTTCTCACGGGTGTCTGAAGGATTCTCAGTCATCCAGGTCCTGGATGTATCAAAAGAGACCTTCTCAGGGGTGTTTTCCATCTGAATGTGGAATAACGATAGTAATTCTCACCAAACATGTTGGAGCCAGTTGTGGAAATGTGTATCTTTTAAGTCCCAGGTTTTATAGAGCTTAGATGTCTATATTTTGGGTATGGGACAGGTTTTTAATAGGATATATGATCTTCATTTAGCGCTTTAATGCATATTCAGCAGAAAGTTAATTGATGCTACTACAGTTTTAGTACTGAAAAGAAGTAAGCCTATTGTAACTTTTGAGTGCTTGGTTTCTTGTGCTTCCATATAGTAACTAGCTTTTTGCACAGTTGGAGCTATTGTAGCCCTTTTGATTCCAATTAAGAGACAGTTACTAATATGTATATACACTATTCCTCCAATTCAAAGAAATTGTTGCAATTTCTAAACATACTGGATTTTACAAGTATAACTTACTTTGGTATGAATAACTTATATTTACTCTTTTGGCCATCATTTTTTGTCCCCCCCCCCCCCCTTTTTGAACTGTGAGCCGCCCTGAGTCCCCCCAGGGAAAAGGGCGGCATACAAATAAAGGGAAANAAAAAAACGGGCCCGTTTTTGGGAAAAACGTGCCATTTTTGGGAGGTCTGAAGAGTGCAAAAACTTTTTAAAAAAAATTTGACTCTTCAAAATCTTGGTGCGTCTTATACTCCGAAAAATGCAGTGATTGCTCAAGATCTTTGAATTTGGTTGTTGCTGCAAATATTTTGTTACATTTTTTATTCTTATAATTCAAACTGCAGTTCAGTTCAGATAAAACTCATTTTTGAAAAAGTAATCCATTCCCATTAGAGTCTTTGATATTTGAATGCATGATTGTACATAAATGTTTCAAGACTACAAAATGATTATCATAAATAATGTAATGCCTCATATGATGGTACTGCCTCAAATCATTTTCATTCTCTAAAATGATATGTAAGCCTCAATGATCTGCTTGGCAGGATACAATTAAAATCAAATAAAATGTATTGGTAGTAAAAAGCCCCATTGATATAATCATAACCAGATGTGCTTAACTTTGGATATAAAAATATTCAAAACTATAGAATTTATGAGTGAATTCTTATCACAAAATGTGTAATTGCTCCACAATTCATTGGTAAAGCTATCAATAATAATTTAAAACTGGATTCTTGTTACTTAACACTAATTTTATGTTTGTGTGGATTTTAAGAATTGTCTTTTTACTTAATTAGATCGTGACTAAATTAGAATAACAATCTTGTATAGAATTGTAAAGAATTCTGAGATTAAATTTACAATTAAAATGGAACAACAAAATTAACAATTTAACAATTTTTAACAAACTAGTCAGATTAAAAGAGCTAGCCATGTACTTTGTGTTATTAATTCTAGCATTAGAGGTAATTCTCCCTACTTGTCATCTAAAATGTACAGGCAATGCACTTCATTGAGCCACTAAGTAGTTCCTTTGGGTTTTTGTTTAAAATTTCATACCAGCAAATTACAACAGACAAAAAAATCATTAGTTAGTCCTTGACTTAAAGCTATTTGTTGTAAGCCGTGGTGGTACAGTGGTTAGAATGCAGTATTGCAAGCTGACTCTGCTCACTGCCAGTTTGATCCTGACCAGCCCAAGGTTGACTCTGACTTCCATCTTTCGGAGGTCGGTAAAATGAAGACCCAGATTTTGGGGGCAATATGCTAACTCTGTAAACCACTTAGAGGGCTGTAAGGCACTGTGAAGCAGAATATAAGTCTAAGTGCTATTATTGTTCAGCAACTGTTCAAAGTTACAACAGTGACTTATGAGTGATCCTCACACTTAAAACCATCACAACGTCCCCACTGATCAAAATTTGGGTGCTTGACAACAGGAATGTATTTACAGTGGTTGCATTTCTGGCTCACATGATTTCCATTTATGACCTTCCCTGGGGCTTCCAATAAGCAAAATCAACCAGGGGGATAGGCAGGCTTGCTTAACAACTGTGATGATTCACTTAACAACCAAGGCAAAATGTTGTAAAATCAGGTGCGACTCATTTAACAACAACATCACTTAGCGATGAAAGTTCCAGTACCAATTGTGCTTTTAAATCAAGGAATATCTACCTGTATTATCAAGAAATAGCAATGCATAGGAGCTTCCCTAGGGTGGCGTTTGTGCCAAGATTCAAGACCAAAATAAATGTAGCTTTATTAATATAAGTGTATCAAGATGTTAACACATTTACTTAAGTCTTCATTATCTTTTATTCCGAAGTGTTGTAGTATGTTCCAAATAAAATTAAGAAAATTGCAACTTTAAAAAAAAGTCTTGTAATATACATTTTAACAACTGAATGACCATCTTCTTATTGGGAATTGCATTTGCAAACAGATATGGTAACTAGTACTATAGCTTTAGTTCAGTAGCTTTAGCAGTAAACGGTGTAGCAGATACTGAGTCAATCAGCTGAGAGATAGATAGATGGGTGCATGCATGCACTTCTCTGGAACCGGAACATTATATAAAATTAAATAATGCATAATAGAACTGAAAACAAAAATCTCCATGATAATACCTAGGAAAAAATCATTAAGATTTAGAAGTCCTTTTCACAGAAAGTTAGTCTTTAGTTGAATACTTGAGCTCTTCCCAGGATTCTTTGAATGCTTAGATGTTGACTTATCCTTGATGCTTTCTTGATTGCCTTTCACTGCTGACTCAAGTCTTGCTTTCATTGATGGGGAAGAAGCCATTGATTTTTTAAAGGCTGACGTATACTGTGGACCAATCTGCATCAGATAATGCAAAGCAAACTCATGAAGATGCTTTGCTGAACTTGAAACTGATCCTAGGGCGTTTTCATCCAAAAGAAAAGAGATGAGGATGGGAATAAAACAAGCCACTAGCTGACTTCCTGTGAAAATTGAGAACAATAATTTATTCAGCAATGATAAATAGCACTAGTTTCATAATTACATGTTTTTAAATTTAACTCTTAAAATGACTGTACCGGAAACAAGATATCATTTGACATAGTAGAATATGCTTTTCAATAAACAAATATGCTTAGTTGTTTAATTAATTAATTGTAAATAATTAGCATTGCTTTAACTTGCTACATATTATGCTGTTCTGTCTAGCTTTAAAACATGAACTTTGCAAGAAGCAAGCAAGAGATTTTGCAATGATGAAAACCAGTGGTGGATTGCCAATTTTTGTACTACTGGTTTGGGTGTGCTCTCGCGCGCGCAACACTTCTGCACATGCGTAAAAGCATCTGGGTGGATAGGCGGAGCCTCCCGCCGCCACTACCGGTTCACCCGATCCAGGCCAAACCGGGAGCAACACACCTCTGATGAAAACCCATAACTTATCCCTGCTTCAAGTTTGTGTTTTACTACCATTTCTTCATGATATTATGAACAGACGAAACAAATGCACACATTTCCAAAGAGTATTTTTATGTCAAGAAATTGGTTTTTTTTTTCAACTGAGAACAGGATAAAAACTTCACTGTCACTTTTTAACACACACTAATCAGCTTACATTGAAATGAAATCTTGTTGCATTCAGCTCTCAAAAGATAACTATTACGCGTAGACCCACATACACACATATATGACAGAGAGAAACATCACAGTCTACTTCACATGTATACATGTACATGACAAGAGAAACAAATCTTGTGAGTTTACCAGACGGATGGCATAGGGAATAATAATTCTAAGGAAGGGACAAACAACCCAAGGCTTCCATATTGCTCAGTCACAGCACCCTTTGTGGGGGCCAGTTCTTTGCAGCAGAATCACACATACATTTTTGGCAAAGCAGTTTTAACATAAGATTGTTAAACCTCTGCAACCTGCAAGGTTCATTATTTTGCCTTCAAATGCTGATCTTGTAGAGCAGGGGAGTCAAAGTCAAGGACAGTGGGCTGCATCTGATCCTTTTGGTGCTTCGATCTGGCCCATGGGGCCTCCCTGGAAACAACAAAGGACCAGGCCACAGTGCGTCTGTCAGTGAAAATGGAGCTCGAGAGGACTGTGCACAGCCCACCCAAGCTCTGCAATGGCCTCCAACTGTTTTCACTAACCCGTTTTCACTGGCAGAGTGCTCGGGGCCACCACAGGCGCCCCCAACCAATGTTCCCTCTAAGGTGCGTGGCTGCACGGCCGCGCACGTGGCAAGAAAACACCGTGCAACAGTTTCCAACCGCTGCACAGTGATTTCTAATGTCACAGGATCCGGAAGCTGAGGGGCCTCATTTTCTGTTCTGGTTAGGGTTAGCACGGGCGCGGGGACGGTGGCAGGAGCTAACATGGCACAACCATTCTCCTAGGACCTCCTAGGCGCTGGCTGCGCTGGTCAAACTACTGTTAGTTGCCCTGTGTTCAGCAAAGCAAGCGCGGGGAGGTCCTTTGTAGGCGGCTAGAACTGGCCCCCACAAAGGACCTCCCCGGACTTGTTTTGATGAGCACAGGGCGACTGACGGTAGTTTGCGCTGGCCACGCCCGCTCAAACTACCATCGCCCCGTATTCAGCAAAGCAAGCCCAGGGAGGTCCTTTGTGGGTGGACAGTCCTAGCCGCTTGCGCCTGGCACTGCGGCTGAAGTGGAGCCCCAAAGCCCCCCCGCCACTGGAATAACTGCTGCCGCCTCCTCCTCCAACAGCACTGCCAAATTTGCCCCCTGGGTATGCGGCTAAAGTGAAGCCGCCAAAGCTCCTGCTGGGGCCTCCACCCGTGGCAGTGGTGCCTCCCCCTCGGCAGAGGAGGAGGCAGTGGCAGGGGTAGCGCGATGCCCAGCTCAGGTGCTCTGAGCAGAGGGGGAGGTGCTGCCGCTGCTGCCACAAGCGGCGGCGCCAGCGGGAGCTTTGGCGACTTCACCTCAGCCGCAGTACCAGGTGGCAAATGTGGTGGTGCTGGAAGAGGAGGAGGAGGCGGCATCAGTTATTTTGGTGGCGGTGGGGGCTTGTCGGCATTTTCAGCGGCAGCTCTGCCCCCGGTGAAAAAACCAAAGATTGAGCAGATCCAGGCTGATGACGTCACCACAGCTGCTAGGTCCGGAGGTAGCCAGAGCAGCGCCGAGGTGAAAGAGCAACATGACTGGAGGAGGAATTCTGGGAGTTGAAGTCCACAAGTCTTAAAGCTGTCAGGTTTGAACNGAAATTCTGAACATGTATTATGTGAAAAATAGGTAAAATAAAATTAGCGAGACATTCTCTGCAAGTACTATGTTTAGGACAGAAGTGGAACAGTCATATTCTGCAATTGGGATGTATCTCAGCTGTAAAGAACTAAACATATAGAACTGTTATCTAAAGCTCAATATTATAAGTAGCTCATATATTAAAGCTATAATACATAATTCTCTGATGTGTCATTAAATATGAACTATTTACTTATTCTGTATGTAATTCTCTGCAATTTTGCCATGAGTTAAAAATTGAGAATATCTCCATGTTTTGACAACCATAGTTATCCCAATTAGTGGAGCTGAGTGGCATTTTTGGTAAATACATTTCTTAGTCACAAAGAACTAATGACAATGATTTTAAAATTATAGTATATTTAAACATTATGAGTGGCTACCTGGGAGATCTTTTTGTTGGCCAGTAGAAAATTGGATGTATGCAGAAAATATAAATATGACTCTTCACACAAGGATAACCAGTCACATGTCACTGACTGGAAGTCACTAGTAAGACACTAGAGAAAGTTACTCTGGCTTCATGTGATGTAATACTGTATTAATGTAATTTACAATAATTATATACTTCCTTTTAATCATATTTTAATCATTGAATGGAAATTTGAGGTAAAATAATGTTCATATTATTTAGAGCAGGGGTATCAAACTCATGGCCCCTGGGCCAGATGTGTCATGCACTGGCCATGCCTACCCTGGTTTAGTGAAGGGGGGGAGTCGCAATATGTCATGTGATAACAATGTGATGTCATGAGTTTGACATCCCTGATTTAGACAATTCTAATATGATCGTTGTCATATTTCTAACATTCTTCAGACTCCATCAGCTAATGGTTAAAAAGGCAAAGTATTCCTTGTTGCTTCATCGTACAAGCAGATTTTACACATAAACTGTTGCATCTTCTTCAGAATCAACTTTCTCTGTCTTACACAAACTTTTCAACTTATAATAAACTAAAACAAGTGGCTCTTTGGGCAAAGAGTTCCTCTAGGTGAGCTCAAATGCCCCCTTTAACCCACACATTATAGCCTGTAAATTCAATCTGTTTTTTATAAGTTTGACAATTTTTGCTCTGAAGCTTAAGATTTATTAGAATCCCGTGTTTCTAATAAAGACAAATAGCTTATATTGGTTTATGTATGCCACCTCCAATTAGTAAACCTTTCTTTCCAATTTTTATTACTTCAACTAATGAAATACAATGGTGGCTCCTCTGACTTCTCATTAAAACAGTTTGCTTTAGGTGAACCTCTGAGCTTTATGTCTCCAGATGGAGACTAATTTGTAAGACTTGTATATTAGTGTTACAATACTTGAAGAAGATATTTTGAGGGTATTTTATATTGTCAGTAAAGGGATATTGATTTGAACAATTTGTATTAAGGAAATATGAAACACTAGTTGAATCAAAAATATTTTTTAGACTGTTGATTTTAAACAGTAAGAATGCTCAATGAAGCATTTAAGCATCTCTTCTAAATCCAGCACCAGTATTTTGCATGTTTATAGGGCACAGTTTCCCAAACTTTCCGGCTTTGCAGACCAGCTGAGAGTGGGGGGGGGGAGGTAATGATTCTGCATGAGTGGTGGGCAAGAAGTGAGCATGCACACCCTCTGCTTGTGCAAATAGAGTGTGTGCGCCAACACTTGCCTGCTGCTTTAGCAAGTTGCAGATGCACATGCCTACCATTTCTGTGGCCCAGTTCCGGCTCGGTAGCAGGCTGTAGGGATTGGGAACCCCTATTATAAAGGACAAATCTGGAAAGTAAATGATATTAAGGCCAGATTCACATACCACACAAAACTGGATTGTGGATTTGTGTGGAAACACAGTCAATTATAGCTGATTCAGTAGCTGAGATTAAATATAGAATCTAGATATTCATGGCTATTATTTATTGGTGAAATTACTTCTGGGCAGTGTTGTGTGAGGCAATGAATATGTCTTGATGCTATGAATCATTTCTGATTTAAATATATTAGTGTGATACATAAAATAGATTTATGTTTGTTTTGTAATTTTTCTGACCCTCTAGTCTAAAAGAATTATCATTCAAATGAGATAGGCTTTCTCCAATGTATAAAAATAGTGTTTAGTAATAATAGATGAAAGTATAAAATTAGGGTTTGAAAATACTTTTTTTGGTGCCTTCAAGTCAGTCTTGGCAACTATTCCCAATTTTCTTGGCAAGGTTTTGGATGTGACTTGTCATATACGTATTCCTAGGACAAATAGGGAATGACTGACCTAAAGTCAGTCAGCTAGCTTTCTGCCTATGGCAGAACTAGAACTCACAATCTCCTGGTTTCTAGCTTAGTGCCTTAATTATTACATCTAGTTTTATTGCAAAACAAATTTACTTCGAATATGTACCACTTTAAAGTATCAAAATTCAAGAATGAGCATTTTGAATAATTCCTTTATTTTAATTATATGGAATGACATTTCTTTTTATATACAAGTAGAGCAAAACTTATATACTACTTGAAGTCAAGGTAGCACTTAGTAGTATTACTAAATATTTTCCAACTTGTGCCGAATGCAAAAAATATTAATAGCCAAACTGACATTTCAATCTGTATTATGTGTTTATTTTTTATGCTTGCCAGCCCAACAGAATATTGAAAATAAATTGTATAAGCTGAGATTTTGGCCATCTATCTATTAAGAGGTTATGTCTCCAGAACAGAACCAAATTTGATGTG